TGTGTGTGTGTAGACGGAATCACAACCACATCTGGCAAGTCCTGATGTATGCACGTACAGTTTTTTACAAGATTAACACCACAGACCCACTCAACCCAGAGGCTGCTGTACTGTGAGTTTAACATTCTTGGTTTTTGCCTTTTTTTTTTTCCCTTAATGGAACTTGTTGTGTGTGTGTGTATATTTTATTTTTCCTCTGAAAATGTTTAAAAAAAAAAAAAAAAAAATCTTGTTAGTCATTTATAGAAAAACAAAATTAAAATCTCGACTAAGAAACTGGTCTTTTAGCACTCGGTGCAAAGTGATGTTTCTAGCTAAATAAGTTTGACACTTGCTTTTTTTTTTTTCTTTCTTTTTCCCCAGCTACGAGAAGGATGTGCAGTTGTTCAAAAGCAAAGTGGTAGATAGTGTGAAACTATGCAACAGTCATCTTTTTGATCAGCCAAAGATCGATGATCCCTACGCAATAAGGTTGGTCAACTGTCCATTTCACATTCTAGTGCTGACCACAATAAGGAAAAAAGTGTGTGTGTTTGTTAAAACTCTAAAGAGGGAAAAATTATCTTGTGTTCGGTTCTCCACTTTGATCCATTGGTTTCAGTTTTTCCCCATGGAACCCAGCTGTACATGAAGAAGCAAAAGAGAGGATGTTCACATACAAGGTAAGTTTTGCTAAATTAAAACTTTGCATTTTCGAAGCAGGAGAGAGTTTAATCTGCATATTTTATCTGGTGATTCTTGTTATGCAGCTTTTAATTTGTTGTTGTTGCCCTAGAGACGACCTGAGGATCACCACAAGGCATCTCAGGCATCGGGTTTGTCTTGGGTAAAGCCTGGCTCGACACAGCCCTTCAGCAAAGAAGACAATCCTCCCCAGAGCTGAACCTGCAATGTCAAGATAGTGGCCACTAGAGGGAGTCAGAAGCATCAGATTCCATGCCACAGGCTTGCATCAGCCATCTGTGTGAAAGTAGAACCTTGGTAGTTGGCAACTTTATATTAGCTCTTCACATTTATTGCTTGGCTTTAAAAGCTTTTTTTAGGCCTCAAAGAGTTTTAGAAAAAGGAAACCAAGTTTGTATCATATTTAAATCAACAATGACAAATGGATGCGTCAACATCCTTTAGGGTAAGATGCAATCAAAGTACATTCTCATTTTCGTTTTCTTATCCATTCACATATTTAGTTACGTTATGACATACAGCTGCAAAAGGCTGTGGACGATGTGAGTGAAATTATTTTCATTCTTATTGTAAGTACAGTGGATTGCATATCAATACCACTTGTTCAATTTGGCTCAGGACTGTTTATTTGTAAGACTCGGAATGTTTAATCACAGCTGTGTTGGTGGGGAAAAAAAACCCTGTCACATCCTCCTCTATTACCAAGTTAGGTTGACATTTGCTTTATATTTGTGTTTTATTGGACAATGAGTTATTTTTTATTTCCACTGTGTAAACGGTTGTCTTACTTTGCTCCTAATATTTATGTAAAGCAGAGTTGGCAAATATGGTTTTAAATAAGATTCTAAGTAAGTAAGCTTATGTATTTTGCCAGATTTGAAATAATTTTGAATGTTTTATATATATATCATTGGTTATTAAAGGTTTGATGTGTAAATAATGGATTCTATGCTGAGGTTTAAGAGACATCTGCATTGGTGCTCTGTAAGAGAATGTCTTTTTTTTTCTTCTTTTTTTTTGTAGATAATTGTAAATTACTCCCAAATAAATGACGTTACTCTAGAATTACAGAAGTCTGGAAGACAAACGCCTTTATTTTAATAAAGTTTAGTTATTTAGGACACTCTGAATAGCAAAATATGATGGTAATAAACTGGGGTGCTTCATATTCTTTAGTTACAGGCCAGTGTCAGTTCAAACTTGAAGTCTTCAAGCAGAGGGATTTGGCTTGATTGCTGTATTTGGAAATACTGTAGGAAAATAGATTTAAAATCAGTATAAATTCAATAAAGAAATGAGCACAGCAGGTATGTTGGCCAAAGTTGTTTGAGCTGCTGTAAGAGGGAAAGTTGTAACAATAATTGTAATTTACATGATGCCATTTGGGCTCTTCAGAAGTTCAGATGTGTTGATGCGTGAACCATTTGTTCTTGACTGCTTAGGTTTGAAATTGAAACGGTATTCTTTGAAATCAATAAAAGGATTTTTAAAAGCTATGTATGTTTATGTATTTTTTTTCAAGTGTTTGTTTTGAACTAATGAAAACCTGATTACAAGAAACGTATTTCAAACGTAATTACTCAATACAGTTACTGATAAAAAAAAAGTGGCGATTTCTGTTACACTAAAAATGATTCTATCAAAGAAAACTACGTTCAAATTTGAAGTTACTTATTTTAGCGAAGTATTTCCCTCTGGCAACAGATGGCGTTGTGTACCCACAGCTGAAAGCATCTCCGGCTCCTGTCACGTTCGCACTGAGGACAGACTAGGGTACATGTGCGAATATAAAACCTCTCCGGATTGGCTCCGGTTTAGACGCGGCCATCTTATGCACTCTGTCAACACAGCAACTTTACAAACGATGACATGATTTAATCAGCAAGGCCCTGGCGCCACCGTCCTCAAAGTAGTCACAGTTGGGGAACCGGTTTTTAATTTAACATGGAAATTAGTGATTTTGGTAAATTGTCAGCGGTCCAATCACAGAGAGGGTTACTAATATGCAAATGCGGCGTTATCACAGTCACGTCAGCAGCAGCAGCAGAGCCGCTGTGCCGTGGTCGCCAGCAGGAGTACAACTAACAACACAGTAACAACTTCGCTAATACCACTCTGTCTTCATTGGCGTCTGGAGCTGCGCTTTGTGGTTCTTTCAGGTAAGAAACTGCGCTAATTTCGTTGACTTTTCTGAGACGCGTTTGGACTTGTGGGCTTCTGTTTCATACAGTCAAGTAGCTGTCAAATTTCGGACAGTGAGTCAATGAGGGTCGCCTCAGCTGTCTGATGACACACCGCCTAGCTGGCTGTGTATCTTCCCTGTAGAAGCAAGGGTGTTCAGGAGCCAAAAACTTGTTTGTTTTCTTTGAATTCGCATCGAAAGCAGCAAATATCATCGTACTTTTTCAGAGTTTGACGCCTACATGTAAATGCGCGTGTCTTCAAAGTACTCCTTGGTGGGTTCTTCTTGGTCATGGTGGTCCTGAACTGACAGCGACCAGCCGGGCTCAAAGCAGCATGGCACTTGAATGTGGACGCCTATGTACTTAACAGTGCCAATACTTCGACAGGTTATTTGAAATGAAAACGAAAGTCAGGCGAGGATAAACTAGTTGGCTGTTATCATGGTCACAATCATTGACGACCTCTCCATCCATCTCCGGCCCCCTCCCCCTCCCTATCTTCTTCTGTGAGCAGCGTCACGACACCTTTTGAATCCTTAGGTTATACGGTTCGAGTGCACGTGCGCACCTCGACTAACAGTTTTATATCTAAAACTCAAATGTTCCACGTGCGTTCATTTTCTTTCCGCTCGCCGAGCAGTTGAGCTTAAAGTAGCGCAACACATTGCCGCCTCGTCGGCTTATCAACCACCGCGCTCGCAGAGGCTGTAGCCATTTCTGAGGGAAGATGAAGAGGATGATATTAACTCAAGAGGTGAGCTCGGTGTCTTGCTTAAACATGGTCGCTTAAGGGCTTTGAAAACACCACAGAGGTATAGCCATGTCGCCAACTGAGACACTTTACCAATAACAACCTTGGAAGTTTCCTAAAAGTGGACTGAAAAGCGTTCGTATACGCGCTTCAACTTTCAGTTAAATTGATATTGTTTCAATTTTGTTAGTTTTACACGGACATCTCCCCAAATTTCAGGAGCAGTTTATAAACACAGTTCATGTTGATATTAGGCATGAGTTGCACGTGCCTGGATGGTGCTCACAACGTCACAATTATGAAGGAAACAGCTGGAAAGCATCAGAGGGGAGAGGGGACTGGTCTATGCCTCGGAGCCAGATGGGTGGCGTTTGAAGGTTAGCAGTTGCTTGGTTTAGCTATAGGGAACCTGCATATAGATAGGGATCTACAGAAACTTAAAACTGACAAGTAATTACATGGCAGTCACATGATTTCCCAATAAACATAATGATCACTAGAGAAAGCACTGGAGAGAGTCTTGAGCTTGAAGAACAGCCCAATGTGAAAACAGGAATTGCTTCATGCCTGTGTGAATTGACTTTTGCAGGGACCTGGTGGTTAGTGGGGAGAGTGGTAATGTGCATGACAATGAGTCTTAAAAGGAAATGTAGTGATAGTACAGTAAAGTAGATTTCCTCTCTCTGTATGTTTAATTTAAGATTTAAATATTGCTTTCAAAATGCAAAGCAGTGGTATGAGGTGGTGAGAATGTTATGAATTGTTTGTTAATATATGAGATTACACATTTCTCAGGTTTGATGTTAGTAACGTTATAAAGTCACTATAAAACTCGTAATGTAGCAAGTGGAACTGTTTAACTCTGAGAGTTCATGTAGACATTTCTGTTGCTATGGGCCAAGCAGGCCACCTATGCTGGTTCACCTTAAGGTGAACTTAACTTGCATACAGAGAAGTTGGCTGTTAGAATCACTTAGTCAAAAGGATTTTTTAGGTGGGCTTTTCTTATAGCCATCACAAAACTGCAGCAGCAGCTGGGTAACTGCCAGTTAAACAAGAAAAATCAAACTTATGACATCATTTTTTAGTTTATTAGCTTGTGCACATTGCTCTGTTGTTGTTTTTTTTTGTATAATATTATCCATATTAGGCTGGTGTCTCTGATAACAAATCACACAGTCAGTAGTTGAGAGCACCATAATTTTTTTATGCTGGTAGAATGTTATGTTAAACCATTTACTAGCATGGCTATTATTTTAAATATATGCTGTGATAAAGAAAAAGATGCCAGACAAAAATATGGGACAAATGTCTGTGTTCATTTGTGTGCCTGTGTGCATGTTAAGTCAGCATAATAACTGACCTCGGTAGGCTTCTGTCATCTTCCGCTGGTCTGTGGTTGCAGAACATGCACATGCGCATGCTTAAAGGGCCTCCTTTGCCTCTGTCCTTAGCTGTTGAAATTCTATCAGCTGTCTGCACCTCCCACACATTCTGCAGTAGCAGGGCAGGCAGCTTCATTGGTTGTGAAGGTAGGGGGTTGAGGCGCATTTGTGCGTATGTGTGTATTTGAAAAGGGTGGGGGTACAGGAAGAGGCACCTGCTGGTGGCTGGCGGTTGGTTTGCACCAGCTGCTTTGCTGCACACATGAAAGGCAATGCTGACAGATAACTGACAGTACCAAGTTTCTCCAGAACCATGACATAGCCTTCACTTGGATAAGTGCTTTTATATGTCAGATTGATAGTCATGCAGTTTTACTGCTCTCAAAGAATGCATCATTGATGATGAAGTGGATGACAAAGTTCAATATGGTGGACAAAAATATACTTGATAAACTGTTGTGTCATCTTTTAACTGGAAATTATTTGTGCGTGTGTTTAAAGGTTGATTATGCTAATAAGTAACTTTTTTTTTACCAAATGAAATCTGATGTAGGCCATAGATTACCAGCTGAAACTTTATCATCTGATATAAGTATTATAATTTATATTTTTTCTCTTCATTTTAGGGCATGAAAACTATATAGTCGGCATGCTGTAGCTCTAAAGAGAGGCATTTGGGGACCAGTTTGGATCCATTGGTGTTCCAGAGGTTCCAGTCATCCTCCAGCCTCCACCATGGACTTCTTTAATGACCCTAGCCTCTTTGGTGGAGGTTTGGAAGGGCTGGATGACGATGGCTTCGCTTCAGCACCATCACTCGTGGATGAGCTAAATCTTACTGCTGACTTTGAACCGCTCCAAGTGGAGCCTCTTGGCCCTGGGAAGCATCAAGACATGATGCCACCAGCTTCTACCCAACAAGCTATGCCTAGTTACAGCCAGTCAATGGGTCATTACATTGACATTAAGGCCAATGTGGCTCAGGCATTTTCTGGTTCTCAGGGCATAAGTGAAGGCATGATTACAGAGCAACATGGCTCATACCATAATGCTCCCATGAGTCAAGTTCCTCAATCCAATGGGCTCTTCTGTAACAGTGGCAGTCCGATGTGGGGTAACCAAGACCAGAATGGGAACATGTACCAGGCCTTACCTCAACAGCAGCTTTGTCATCAACAGCAACAACTACAAAGCCAGCAACTTCATGGCAGACATCAAACACAGCACCATCCCTGTTATCAGCAAGAGGAGCAGCAGCACAGAATGCGACAGCAGCAGCTGCAACAACAGCAAAGTCATCAGCAACAGCTGTTAAACCAGCACCAACAAATTAACACACAGACTGTGTCCCTGCAGCAGCAGCATCACAATTTCCCGTTTCACCAGGGAGGCCAGTCCAGCAGCCAACAGCAAATTCACCACACTCAGCAGCAGGTTCAGCGCCAACTAACTGTGAGAGAGCAGCAGTTCCACTCAAGAGCTCTTCCAAGTAAGCATTATTTGGAAAGTCAGAATGCTTCTATGACTGCAACTTGCTTGCAAACACAGCCACAGCAAGGTAACTACCAGTTGGTCAGGGAATGTCAAGCTTTCCCTGGAACAGGACTGGAAGAATCTAACCTGTCCTTTCCCATGCACTCATCATCTATGGTTCATTCCCTGCCCACATGCTCTGTCAGTTCTGCCAGAGCTTATCAACCAACTCAGTACCCTACTTATCCTGGGGAGCCAGAATTACCCAGTCTCAATGAGCAATCTTTGTCCTCAGCCTCGGTGTCTAGGCCCAGCAACACCACTGCACCACTCACTTCTACAATACCCGAACTTACAGGGACACCATGCCAGTTTTCATCCACTGCACATTTGAGTCAGCACCACACTAGGACCCCAATTAGCCAGGCAGAGGAATGTCCTTTCCGTGCTATACGTTGCTCCAGAGAAACCCAGGGAAACTGCAAGTCATCTGAGCTGTTTGGTGAATCTATGCGACCCTACCCCAACATCACCACCCACCTGCCTTCTGAGCAGCCTCAGAGTTGTAGGGTTATCAACACTAATGGATACCAAGCTTTGGGAGACAGCCTTTTACCATCAGCAGCTCATGATGAAGACTTGGATGGCCTGGAGCCTCCTGACCTCCTGCCTGACCTACTGCCCCAGCTTGAGCATGTTTTTAAGCAAGAGGACAAATCTAACTGTGGCTGGACTGATACTACTCAGGAGATGGGAATTGAGTACAGGAAACCATCACCCATTGAGTACAGTGAAGATAAGGTAACACATTTCATCCTTTTTGTTCCTAAAGCATTTGTTTAAGGGCACTGCACTGATCTTTATATATAACCATACACCTCATACTTAACACCCATTTCTAAGTTGTAGTCAGTGACAAGAATGGAAATGAATAAGGTGAATGAAATGAAACAGTGATGTGTTGAATTTCACAATTTTAAATATTTTTTTTCTTTAATAATGGAGAAATATTTTCTTCTTTCCATATTATGGCACAGAATTTGGCCACTCATATAATGCTTAGCTATCTCAGGTAGAACATGTGCTTGCCTAGTAGAAAACCTGCAATCAGCAGTGGAAAGGGGAAGGTGTATCTTGGGCAGTCTGAAAGCTATCTGAAAATGATAATGGTCAGTCCAACCTGGCCTGTCTGTCTGGGCAGTGCACTGACAGCAGCTCAGGCCTGATTAGGCTAAGAGTGGCAGGAGAGTCTTCAGGACTTAGCTGTAAGCATACTTAGGGCTATATCAAGATGTGGGTCAGGGCAAGCCAGAAGCACTTGCACACTGCCTCGCTGGAGTGTGGGGGAGGTTGCACGCTGTTGTGGTAGCTGCCACAGTTTCTGTGTGTGTCTGTGCGTGAGTGCGTGTGCACGTGTGAGAGAGTGAGCGGTAGGAAAAGAGCACGGTGAAGGAGAGTGGTTAGCACTTCAGAGCGGGGGAGGGGGTTTGAGAGATGGAGAGGGCAGCAGCTCATGGAAAAAGGAGAGCTTAGGAAAGAAAGGGAGGGAAAGAGACAGAGAGGAAGAGCATGACAGAGAGAAGAGAAGCGGAGGGGGAGGTTGGGTGAATGCATTAGCTGGCTGTAACAGGCTTCAGGCGGTTCCTGGACCTCAGATGGCTTGTAACTTAGCAGCATCCATGCACTACCATCGCCCATGAGTGACACATGACCACCAGCTAAAGTCACAGACCTTTCATCATGCTCTGCACACTTTATGTGCATATGTAGATAGAAACATATTTTTGTGTTCTCTTTTGAGAACATTTGTGTTAGATTTGAGAATTTTTGTTACTAAAACAATGAAAATTATTTTTTTAAGGCACGCTTTATATATAGGCACTTTTTTAAAACCATAAAAGCACTTGTGTTTCCTATGGCCCTCTACTGACAAAACATCTCATAACCACTAACCGTACAGAAGTGTTGTTTGGCAATATTGTACCAACCTCACCTTTGTCTGTATCTGCACTTACCCTAGTGTAGTAAACACTTATATTACTACAATTTTACAGTATGTGTTTGAGTGACTCATTTAAATCTCTGTAAACAGGGACCTCTTACTAGCAGCAGGTCCATTATGTCTCCCCAATTTTAAAAGCAAATATATGCCCCAGAGCCAAAACAAAACTTGTGTTTTGAGTAGCTCATCTATACCCCAGCATTCAGCAGGTGATAACAAAACTGGTGCTGCGCCTAAACCAGAGCTCATCCACACAGGCCATTTGCTCATCTGCAAAGGTCCTTGATTGAAATGGGGCCATGAACCACAGCCATATGAACAAGCCTCTCCCTGTCTGTGTCAACATCCAGCCCTGTGTTGATGCTTACAGGCTGACTGTGCTATTCATGTGCACTGATGTGTGAAGAGCCTGCTGATAGTGTGTTTGCTGAACAGGCAAGGCATCAGGGGATAGCGGCCCACTCTTCACTCCCCCACAGTGAATGTGGCTAATTAGGATTTCCAATGTTTGTAATGGTCAGCTACAGATGTAATGACTCGCCAGGGTTAAGATTTAAGACTTATCACAGGTTTCAATATTCTGAACTTTTACATAATTAAATATTTAGAAAATGTCAAAGTTCGGTTGAAATAAATTTTAAAATAAACAAGAGACCTTCTTGCAATGGAACCAAATCAAATATCATGTCTGTCAGCATACTGACATTAAATCAGTGAGATAGCTTTGGTTATCCTCTTTCGCTTAGTGGAAGGGCAGCCCATGATCCCAGCTGTCATAGGGCAAGAGGCTGGGTACACCCTACCTGGTAGCAATTTCTGCATTATTACATAAGCAAAGGTTGAACCACACCCATTTTGGTTTTTGCTACATACCTGTTACGTTTCTGGACGACTGTAGTGTTGACAAAAATCAGTCCTCAAACATAAACGGTTGCCAGATGTACTCAAGACAACATTGGAATAGTTCCTGCTATTCCAGAAGCAATAGTACCACATTTTGTCACAGTGACAGAAAATTATACCACAGCAGTATTTCAGCTACTACTAGATATGTGTAGAACTCTTGCTTTATTTCCATGAATCAATTTGGCAACATGTATTCCATGCTAGTGGGCTGATTCTCATGATTCCCATTTCTTTGGTCATTTGGTAATTGTTTAGTTTGTTCCTTAAACATGGGTAAACTAAAAAGTACCTTTCTTCTGGTCATTTCATCTCTACACTAAGTTGCAAATTTGAGTAAATAATCAATTAGATCATACTACATTATTATTTATTTTTTAGGCGTGGGAAAATTCTGAGGGTTCATCTCTAATTCTCAGCATCTTGATCCAGTAGTAAAAGCAATAATGAAACTAGAGCTAGTGATGACTGGGGATTTTACAGTACTAGAAATTTAGTAGTTAGTACCAATACCAATAGAACTAAAAGATTCACAATGCCAAATTCAGTTGTACTTAAACACAAAGTCCTTTGTTTGCTTGGGGGTGGCTGGAGCCTATCTCAGCTACCATAGGGCGAGAGGCAGAATACACCCTGGTCAGGTTGTACACAGAGAAACAGAGAACCATTCACACTCATAGTCAGACCTATCTGCAATTAACTTAACCCAACTAATTGCATGTCTTTGGACTGTGAGAGGAACCCTGAGAGAACCCACACAAGCAGAGGGGAGAACATGCAAACTGTGTGGTCCTTTACGCTGTGAGGCAGCAGTGCTAACCACTAGGGGTGGGTTTTGATAATCGATTTATCGATTAAAATCGATTCTGGCTTGGATAACGTGATATCGATTCATTAAAATCGTGAATCGATTTTGTAATATAAATTTATTTCGCCCGAAAAGCCAGAATTTCAGGTTAAACCTCATAAAATTTCAACAACCACCAAACAGCTAAAACAGTAAATGAGAGCAGGTACACGGATTCTGCACAAAGATGTAAACACAAAGCGTAGATCCGCCGACGGATCAGAAGCAGTGAGATGTCGCCTTTCTCACCCGACGGCACGGACACGGTCGGGGCTGAAAGCCAACAGCTCACTAATTCTGATGTTTCAGCGGGTCCACGCTTTGTGCTTATGCCCTTTTTGCGCTGATTCTGAAGCTTTATCTCTCTCCAAACAATATTGACCAAACCGGCAACAAAAGACGATCCAAACTACACTTCACATAAACATTGTCTTGAATTCGCTCAGACTTTTGCTGTTTTGCTTTCACTACGATAAAACGCTTAGTCGTGTCTCTAATAAAACCTCTGTAACTTCAGAGGTAATGTTCATATGTTGATTAATGGTTTTCTTTCGTTTTTGATCGACTGCAGAATATTTTTATAAAATCCCAGGCCAGGAAAATCACCTTCGTGTTTTTCTGTGTTTTATCCTCAGTTACTTTGACACAAAGGCATCTGCTGTGATGCTTACACTTTTGATAAAGTCTTGCGAGTGTCAGCTTCCTTTTTATAGATACAAAAATATGTAAATGTACTGATCTGAATTATGATATTTCTGAACGTCTGAGGCAAAATTTCCCAGATTCAAATCGAATCTAATTGGATCGAATCGTGGATCAAATCGATTCGGGACCTTGTGAACCGGAATCGAATCGATTCTAGAAATCAGTGACGATACCCAGCCCTACTAACCACCACCTTACTGTTCTGGCCTACTACTGTTAGTTATATTATGTTAGCATAGGCATTTAATTTTAGCCATTGAAAAATATTTTAGTATCTGGAGTAAAGCTGGTTTCAGAATATCAGTCTCAGCTGTCTTAAACAAAATAGTAACAAGCATTTCAGGATAAAATTAGAGAGGTAATACTGTGGATGTCGTTACCGTGAATTGAAACTTTGAAGAAATCTGGAGGCTTGTCTTCACTAAATTGGAAGTATTTCGTCCCTTTGTTCAAAAACTGAAAGAGCATCGTTTGGATATTGGCTTTTGTGAATCAATTAAATCAATGTCTTGGTCCACCAACTCAACCCACCCTACTCTAAACACAAAGTGCTTCTATAGCTGAATCTTTCCTTGTCATCAGTGATTCAGAACAGAGCTATTGTGACCACTACACTACTCACTATTTTTCATATGTTGTGCCATTTCTAGTTTTGCCTTTGCTTCTTTCTTCTTCAATAGGTAAGGCTAGACTAGAATACTTGTAGCCATGTGCCTCCCCCTGCAGTTCTGGAAGAGTAGCCACCTCAGTCAGTACACTGCTTACAATGCCAAAAAAAAAAACAAGTACCATCACGTTTTCAGGATTTTGATATTAAATTGTGTTGTAAGGATCGGTCTTCTGACATCCCTAGTGCTGTCAGGAAATTGTATTGAGTAATACAAAGAGAAGACTGCAATGAATACTCATTTTATATTCATCCACCATGCAGTCACACTGGCCACTGAAATTTGAATTGATTTGATAAAGGCATGTTTGAAATGATGACATTTATCCAGTGTCATAGGTTGTTGAATGTTTGGTGTCTATGTTGGCAGTGTACCCAGTAAAGCAAAATGAAAGTCTGCTAAATACACACACATATCACTTTGTTTATTTTTTGCAAGTCATATTGACTTAGGCTTTTTTGCAGGAAAGACTTAAGGGTATGGTAATCCTTTAGAGCTACAAATTGAAAATTAATTGTTGGTTATATAGGTGGTGCAATGGTGCGTGTCATCTCACAGCAAGAAGGTCCTGGGTTTGAATTCACTGTGGCCTTTCCAACCCCGAGGACATGCTCTTGTTTTTGCTTTTTTTTCTTCTAACTTTATTTATCACTGTACAAAGAAACAGGGCAGCTGT